TTCTGAGTCTTCCCTGTCCTCATCCCAACTTCCAGAGGCACGGGGCAGAGGATTTAGCGAGAGGAGCAATGAAAAAGGAAAACCAGCCATTGCTGGGGGCAGAGCTATTAAAGAGAGGCCAAAGGGAATCCCCAGGGCACAGGCAGGTGGAGACAGGGAATTCTCATCCCGCCAGGCTGGTGCTGCTCTCCCTGAGCACTGCCCGTCGTGATTACTGCTGCTCCAGGAATGAGAGCCAGGCAGGAATATCTGGGGTGATCCAGGAGCCAGAGGGGTGCAGAGATCATGGAACAACCAGCACATGGAAGCAGCTCCTGGAGCTCTCAGTCCAGGCTTGGCCCTGCGTGGCCACATTCCTCCTCACAGAGAAAAGCAAGGCACAATTCTTCCCAAGAATATTTCTGGGTTTCACATTCTCTGAACCTCAGAGAAAGAAAAAACACAATTCTTATCATTTGCTGTGCCTGTGTTTGTGCCAAAGTAAAATGCAATATGGAGATTTTCTACCCACAGTGATGGTGTTTTGTTTCCTTGGCCTGTCAGGGTCAGGTGTGTGTGTGTGCGTCAGGACTGTCACTGACAGTCCCAAGAGTCAGAGCAGTTCAGTGCAGTGTGTGCAGGGCTGAGGGCATGGCAGATTCAGTTTAGATGTAATGTAATATAGTGTAATATAATTTAGAATAAATTATGTAATACAGTATAATATTAATATAATATAATATAAGCCTTCTGATATCAATGGAGTCAGATGCATCATTCTCTCCCCTCATCAGGGCTCCCTGTAAATTCCATAGCCATGGTGTCTCATCTTCACTGTTGGCTGAGGCTGTCCCAGCTCTTTTCTCACAGGCACTCACTCAGAATTCATTGTGTTTTCTGTACAACCATGGGACAATCGGGCTCTGATTTCACCTTTGCTCCTGTCTCAGCTGTGGGCTCGGTCTGGAGCTCAGACTTTCAAACATTCTGAAGGCCAAGTCTTGTGGAGCTCAACCCTGTGGGGCCTGAACTCTTCCTCCTCTCCCCTGCTCCCCATCTTTGTCCTGATCACCTCTGGCAGAAATTTCCTTCTCATTTCATAGGGACTTCAGGATTCTCCAAGATTTCACAGAACCATGGAATGGTTTGGGTGGGAAGGGACATTAAATTCATCCAGTGCCATGGCAGGGACACCTCCCACTGTCCCAGGCTGCTCCAAGCCCCAATGTCCAACCTCACATTTCCAGGGATCCAGAGGCAGCACCAGCTGCTCTGGGCACCCTGTGCCAGGGCCTGCCCACCCTCACAGAGAGGAATTTATTTCCAATATTCAATCTAAACCTTCCTTCCTTCACCTTTAATCCATCCCCTTGTCTGGCCACTCCATGCCCCTGTGTCTTTGAAGTTATGACAGGTCCTTTGATTAAAGAACTTGGTGAAATCTTTAGGAAAGTCAAGTAGGTTTATGCCCATTGGATCTCTGGGCCCCCTGATCTCCTCCCTTGCTGCTCCCTCAGAAACTCAGGGCAAAATCCTGGTTGGATTTGCCAGGAGCTGCTCACCCCTACTCCCCAGTTCCCTCCTTAGTGCAGTTCCACCTCATTTGCACATCACTTTTAATAATCTGCTGCTCCTGGAGCTGCTCAGGAACATTTTTTCCAATCAAGATCTCACTGCTTCCTTTCCCTCTGATGGTGAGGAAATGTTAAGTGGGAGCTCTCAGAGCAGAGTTAATGCTGTTAATGGCTCAGCCATTTCACCCTTGGATTCCTCTGGAGCTCTGCAGTGAGCACCACCCGAGTGTTACCATTTATTTTCTCGGGTTGTTCAGAGCTTCACCCACCCAGACATCCTTGGAGCCACATTTCCTGGCCCCCATCAAGGTTTCCACACTGAGGATTCCTGGAAATTCCTTTTTCCTGTAAACCTGCAGCTGGTTCTCTGCTGCAGTTGGACCCTCTTCATTCTGCCCTTTGGATTATTCCAGCTTCCTGCTCAGGGGTGTTTGGGACAGAAAATTCCCCTGGAAGGCAATGCCTGAACTTCCAGTGGGCACTGGAGGGATCCAGGGTCCTGTGGATGGTGTCACAGACATCTTTTATAAAAAATCTTTTCTTTAAGAGAAGATTGAGAAACTGAGAAGCTTCAAAAACGAAATGTAAACAATTATTATCTGCTGCTGTGGAATGCAACAGCTGCATCTGTGATTGGTCTCACGTGGTTGTTTGTAATTAATGGCCAATCACAGTCAGCTGGCTTGGACACTGTCTTTGTTATTCATTCCTTCTTTTTCTCTTAGCCAGCATTCTGATGAAATCCTTTCTTCTATTCTTTTAGTATAGTTTTAATATAATATATATCATAAAATAATAAATCAAGCCTTCTGAAACATGGAGTCAGATCCTCATCTCTTCCCTCATCCTCAGACCCCTGTGAACACCATCACGGGATGGTGTGGAGGATGATCCTCATGGAGGATCCAGGGCTTGAAATCGTGTTGGTCCATCCATTCCTCCTTTCTCTGCTGCCTCCTTTTTCCTGGATAACCACTGGGGTAACCCAGATCCTGCAGGAACAGCAGCCAAGAATTCATGAAGGAGTAATTTTTACAAGGGCAGAGGGTGAAAGAGCAAGTTTTAAACTAAAAGGGGAGAGATTTGGACGGGATGTTGAGAAGGAATTGTTTCTTCCACAGGGTGCTGCTTTGTCAGGATGAGCTGGGGTTTGTAATGGCTGCAGCATCCAGGGGAAGGCAAGGGTAGAAAATGCTCACAGGCTGGGATCCTCTGAGCCCTAAATCTCTTTGTTCTTGTGGAAAAATGCTTTAGGAGGCTTGGATTTGGGAAGGCATGATCCAAATTCCCTGAGTATACCTGAGATCCTGGATCCCTGATTTCCCTGAGTATCCTGGAAAATGCTGGCCAGCAGAGCTCCAGCTCTGAAGATGGGGTCCAGCTTCAAGATCCCAGGGATCCTGGATTCATGGAGCGACCAGAGGGTGAGAAAGGCCCTGAGTGAAGGAAGTGTGGATGCCCAGAGCAGCTGTGGCTGCCCCTGGATCCCTGGCAGTGCCCAAGGCCAGCCTGGGACAGTGGGAGGTGTCCCTGCCATGGCAGGGGTGGCACTGGATGAGTTTAATGTCCCTTCCCACCCAACCCATTCCATGATTCCACGTGCTGCTCACCAGGCAGGGCAGGAGGCAGCAGTGGCCCCTGGCCTTGGCCACTTCCAGGGATCCAGGGCAGACCCAGCTCCAGCTTGCCCCACATCCCCCTGCTCTCCCCCAGGCAGATCCAGTTTCTCCTCCATCCTCTTCTCCTCCTCCAAGAGCCCCAGTTGTGTTCCCAAAATCTCCCCGCCCCTGTCCCAGGCTCCCATCTCCTCCCAGCTGGAGCTGCTCCCTATCTCCCACAGCTGGAATTCAATTCCAGCCTCGTTGGGAGTCTCACTGAGGCTTTGGCTGCTTGGTGGAATTTGTATCCAGCAGAAATTGGATTTGCTGTGCTGCTGGAAGCACTTCCTACCTGGGAGAGGGAGCTGTGCCAGCATTAACATTCCTGTCACCGTGTCACCTCGCTGAAGGCGCCACTGCTCCTCTGGTGCCTCCCTCCCCTGCTCTGGAGGTCAGAGCAGCCTCAGGTTTCTCCTTGGCCTCCGTGTGAGCCACCCTGAATGCCAGTGAGGATCAGGATCCATTCCTGCAGTGCTCCACACTTTCCCAGCCCTGTTTTTCCCCTTTTCCAGGTGCACAGGACCCAGCAATGCCTCAGGGAGAGGGAACACCTCAGGGAAACACCTGCCCTGTGCTGCAGGAATGGGGATCATGGAGGGTGGGGTGCAATTCCCTCCTGCTTTGGCTCCAAGCAGGATTGAGCTGGGTTAAAGCAGCCTCTGTGCAGCAGGAGTGGCCCAAGAGGTGCCAGCAAGGACAGGAGTGTGTCCTGCTCTGAAGGATGAACACAAAGGACAGCAGTGTGTCCTGCTCTGCAACTCCCAGAGAGGCTGGACGTGGAAATCTCCTGGTTTATGGAGGGGATTTTTCCTCACGTTGCTTTGGCTGTGTGGGGAGGATCCATGTGGAGTTCCCCTGGGATGGAGGATGTGCTCTGGGGTAGATCTGCTCTGCTCAAACTCACCTGAGAGCAGGGCCAAGCTGCCCTGATGGAAGTGGTGGATGGGGAGAGATCTGGAGACATGGAAACACCAGAGAAAAGGGGAAATTGTTCCTTATCCATCTTTGGGGGTCACAGATGTCCCATGCTGGGCACTGCCCAGGGAATGGGCACGGCCCCGAGGCTGCCAGAGCTCCAGGAGCCTTTGGGCAGCACTGCCAGGGATGGACAGGGTGGGGTTGTTGGGGGTCTGGGCAGGAACAGGAGCTGGGCTGGAGGATCCTGCTGGGTCCCTTCCAGCTCAGGATATTCCAGGATTCTCTGACAAGCCCAGGCCCAGGCTTTGGCTTTAGGGTGTTCCACCCAAGGTGTGGATCTCAGACACGGATTGTGGGGAGGATCCTGTGGATCTGAGCCCCGGCAGGAGCCCTTCCTCCCCTCCGTGCTCCTGCAGAGATCCCCCGGCTCAGGCTGGCAGAAATCCCAAAGGCAGCGTTTGGGAGGAGCAGCTTTCCCAGGGAAAGGGAGGCTGGCGCCTTTGGGATGTGCCAGGAACGCATATCAGAGCCAGCTGTGCCCACCCAAACCATCCAGCGGTGCCGCTGTGCCTGCACATCTGGATCCCGCCGTTTCGGGAGGAGGAAACACCTCGGCTCTCCAGGGAAGGGTTTTTATCCCGTCCGCAGCTTCCCGAGCGTTGTGCGGAGCGCAGTTGCCATCTAGTGGGGCAGAGCATCCCTGCAGAGAGAGCATCCCTGTCCACAGCGGGAATTCCCCATAGGAAAAGCTTCCACCGAACCCTCGGGATCAGCCCAGAGCCTCCAATGTCACAGACATCTTTTATGGAAAATCCTTTCCTTAGGATTTTTTCTCCTGAGAAGCTGAGAGGCCTCAGNATTGTCACCCAGCCCCCAGCCCTGCCTGTTTCTCTGCCCTTCCCAACATTCCAGCTCTCCTGCCTCTGCCCAGGCTCTCCAGGGACCCTCTGAGCTGCACACACTGACCCCAGGCTGCCCACGGCCACAAGGGTGGTTTTCCCAACAAATTCTTCTCCTAAAAGCCTCAGTCCCTCAATAAACCCCGCTGTGGATAAATCCAGCTGGGCTCTGTAGGAATTTGGGAGGCAGGAATGTTTCCCATGAGATGCTGGAAAAGGGGCTGAGCTGTGGCAGGGTGTGATGTGTGTGCTCCTTCCCACGGCCCCTCCGGTGTGATCCTGGCCCCTCTGGAAAACCAGGAGTGCTCTGACCTCCAGCAGCTCCAGTTTCTCTTCTTCTAAAGTTGTTATTTTCCTTCTCTCCTTGTCCAGCTGCTCCTGGCTCACACGGGCTCCCTGCCCCTGCCAAGACTGCAGAAACCCCCTCTTTTCCCATTCCCTCACCTTTTTCTCTTCCAGAAGCCGGCTTTGGCCCTGCCATCACCCCAGGAGCAGCAAAGCAGAGCCAGCACAGCCACCCCAGCCTGTCCCTGCCACCTGCAGCAGTGCCAGCCCAAGGTCACCTCACCGTGCTCTGCAGATCCATGTGGCACCGGTGACAGGTGTCCCAGGTGTGTCCCAGCAGTGCCAGGCCAGTCCTGTGCCAGGGACACGGTCACCACAGCCCCAGCTCTGCCCTCAGGGTGCCCATCCTCTCCTGGGCTTCCAGAGCCACCTCCTGCTCCAGCCTGGGGCAGGAGCCATCCCTGGACCCCTTACCTGGCTCTGTCCCCTTGGCTCCTGGGCCTGGCACCAGATCCCAGCACTCGTGTCCCCTCCTGGCTCCTCCACAGTGGCTGCCCCACCAGCCCCTGGCATCCAGCACTGGGGTTACAATCCCATTTTCCCCCTTCCCATTGCATTTCCTGGTGCATTCCCGTGTCCACCACGTGGGACACAAGGGCCAGGGCTAAGCTTGGTGTCCTGGCCCCTCGGTGTCCTGCTGCTCTCCAGATCCCAGCTGGAAGCAGAGCCAGAAGCATCCTTGTCCCCACCAATGCATCCTGTCCCAGGTGGAGCTGTGGCATGGCAGAACCCAAGCCCCAAACCCCAGACCCCAGGGCTGTACCTTGCAGGGCAGCTCCCCTTTCTGGTCCCCTCGCAGCCCTGGGGACAACGGTGACCTCCATGGCCGGGGGACTCTCACAGCTGTGCCAGCACCTGCGGGGAAAATGGAATTTGGGGAGGGAGGAGCCACAAACGCACAGAAACCACACAGGGCTGGACCCTGCCACCGTGTCCCTGTCCCTGCCTGTCCCTTGCCCTGCAGCCCCTCCTGTTCCCCAAAGCCAGCCCGCACTCACTCCTGCTGCTGGCCGCTCCTTCCCCGTCCGTGGCAGCCACACTGAAGGTGACATTCCTTCCATGTCCCCAGAGGGCAGGATGTGCCCTGGTTGTGGCCCTGCTGGCCCTGGGAGCGCTGCTGCCCGGAGCNAATTAAAGCCATATATAGCTTTAATATATAGTTATATATATTTTGATATATATAGCTTTACTATATATGGTTATATATTAAAGCTATATATATCAATATATATGACATATATTATATTCTTTTAATATATCATAAAATAACAAATCAGCCTTCTGAAACAAGGAGTCAAGATTCTCATCTCTTCCCTCATGCTGGGACCCTCAAACACCACCCCAAGGTGCCACTGCCCTCCAGCTGCAAACTGTGGAGATGTCAGGAACTCATAACCACACAATGATGACGTGCAGGTGCTTTCATTGAGAGCCCTGGGTGTCAGGGGACACTGACCCAAATCTGACCCACCATGGGTTCAGGATGAACGTGTTTTATATTCTATTTGTGAAGAAAAACATGAGAGAACTGTTTTCTTGTGGAGAAATCTCCATAACATTTACAAGAGGGACTTCTCTCCCTAAGTGAACTGGAGAATGACTACTCTAGAGGTGGTAAACTGACTGAAATTTTGGGTTTTGTTTCTTTACACAGTCTTTCTATCCTAAAATTATATTCTATCATTATGTAATCTATATAATGATATATTATATCATTTATATTGCTATATATTTATATTCTATCATTATATGACTTACATATTAATTATTAAACTTACATTGATTTCATCCAAGCATGGGTTTCTGGTGATCCCCCTCAAACTTTTGAACACAGATTCTCATGATTCTTTCTTTAGATTAAACAATAATTTTATCTAAGTACTAAGCAATCATCACATCTAACAATCATATCATCTATCATGTACTGGTTACACAGGTGCAGTTTCACATGATCCAGGCCTAACATCTCTCAGGCCTACCTTTAACATTTCCCATGCCCTACTAAGCCTAACTTTCTTCCTAACTCCCCAAATTTTCTATTATTTTAAAATCTTTTACTATCAGAGAGATTCAATGCCCAGCTTTAACCCCAGCCTTGCTTTTAACCCCAAATTTGCTTTTATCCCACTGATTTTAGGCAGGATGGATCCTGTGTGCGTGTCCATGGGAAGGAAGGCACAGGATGCTGTTCTGGGAATTTTCTGATTGTTTGGGACTTGGTTTGTGCTCTGAGCTGCAGCTGCAGCTCCAGTGCAGTGACTGCAGGGCTGTTCTGGCTCCTTCCCTAATTGCCAGATTTTCCAGGGTTCTCATTAAAACAGGAGCTCTGAGTGATTCCAGCACCCATTGGAGGCAGCTCCTGCAGGGAACTGGATTTTAAAAAGAAAAAATAAAAAAGGTAGTTGTAAAAAGCAAATTTTTTTCCTACAAATGGCAGCTCCTAAAAATCAGCAGCACACAAAGGGTGCTCCCCCTAAGCCTTGGGGTGGGACCCCTCCCTAAACACCCCAAAATTTCCCCCAAACACCCCCAAAGGTGCTCAGGCTGCAATTCCTGATGGGAATCCCACAGCTCTGCCTTCTGTGAGTATCCCACATTTAGAAAAGGTTTGGCAGATGTCACAATTCACTGACCTGTGTCCAGCCAACACCAGGAATTCTCCAGGGTTTCACAGAACCATGGGATGGTCTGGGTGGGAAGGGACCTCAAATCCCACCCAATCCCACCCCTGCCGAGGGCAGGGACAACTTCCAATTTTATGTGGTGGTTTTGGTTCTCCAATTTGAGATCTCGCCAATTTTGAGATTCCCCAGCCAAAGCACCAACGAGTGTGGTGGGGTCAGTGCTGGCCAACCCCAGAGCACTCACTTTGTGCTGTGAGACAGGAGAAAGGCAAAGCAGGCTCAAAACTTTAAAAGGGTATAGAGGAAACTTTATTAACTAAAAGAAAGAAGTAATAAGAATCAAAACAAACCCCTCAGAACACTTCTCCCCAAAACCTTTCCTTTCTCACTGACAATGTAAAGAAATAAAACCTAAAATTTCAGTCAGTTTCCCACCTCTAGAACAGCCTTTCTGCAGTTCACTGAGGCAGAGAAATCCCTCTGGTAAATGTTATGGAGACTTCTCCGCAAGAGGAAAAAACCAGTTCATGGCTTGCAATTTCCTCACAAACAGCAGCCACACAGGAATTCTGCGATTCTGCAAAAAGTCCCTCCCATTTTCACAGTTTTTTCCCACATTGGGCCATGTCAACTTATGGGGTACTAATTTAAACATGAGCTGTTCAAAGGCAAAGGTTCTCATTATCTATTTCTAAAATCATCTTCATCCCTGGGAACAGAGATCTTCTTCCTCTCTCCCTGGGCGCACAGGGTCTCATCACTCTTCTCTCTCTCTCTCTGTTTAACCTTCTCATGAGATCACAGCTGCTTCAACATCTGCTTACTCTAGCATGGAGGCCTTTGCTCATATCCACAATTTGAACACTTCATCTCCCCATAGTTTCATGTGTTATAGGGAAGAAGAATCCTTTCTCCATGGCTTACAAGAGGATTCCAGCCCCAAAATCAAGGCAGCTCCTCATCCCTCCCATCCGGGACTCCTTCCTCACTGCCCTCGATGTCTCCAGGTTGCTCCTTCACACGCTGGCATCCTGTTCCTTCCTCACTCGAGGGAGGATTGAAATTCCCCATTACAAACTGGGTGTGAGCCTGCTTTGGGAAGGGAAGGGCACCAGGATCTCCCAAACTGCTCCATTTGTTGGCTCCAAGCCCCTTCCACACTCCCTCCTTGGCTTTTCCATGGATAATTCCCAGACTTCTCCCAGCCCTGTGTCCTGGTTTGGTGGCAATGTTGCTGTAACAGAGATCTTCCTCTCCAAGTTCCATGAAATAAATTTTTTCTTGTTTCCACAGTTTTTCTAATTTATTCTCCCATTTTTTTCTCCTCAACTATTTCAGACTTTCTCCCTTTTATTCAGTAAAGTGTAGAAAAGTTTTTCACCAGATTTTACATTTATTTTGCTTTACTTTTTCCTGGGGGAAAAGCAAAGGGATTTTTCCCCCTATTCCTTCCCTCTGGGATTGGGAATTGAGGTGATTTCCCTGCTCCGCTGCTCCCTGGCTGTCAAAATCCTTAATCCCAGCAGGGCAGCAAAGCTTTCATCTCCTTTCTCCCCATTCATCCCCCAACACAATGGTGGCAGATATTGCTCTTTGTTTTTATTTTTTTCCTATCTTTTTCCATCTTTTTCTGTGTGATTTCAGTGGTTTCCTTTTGGTTTTATTTCCTTTTTCCATTCAATTTCCAATCCAGTTCCTGACATCACCCAAGTGGAAAAATATTTTCTTTGCTCCTGCTTGGGTGGATGGGTTTGCTTTGGGTTTTTCTCCTCTTACTCTTTCCATAATGGATGAAAGAACATTTCTGAAGGAAAGACCTAAATCCCATCCCATTCCACCCCTGCCATGGGCAGGGACACCTTCCACCCTCCCAAGCCAAATCCAACCTGGCCTTGGGCTCTTCCAGGGATGGGCAGCACTTCCAGGATCAGCCAATGGTGATTTTCCTCCTTTTCCTCCCTCACCATCCAATTTTCCCAGGAAAAGTGGGGATTCCTCACAATTAGCTGGGAGAATCCATGGAGAATGGGAATGAGAAGAAAACCCCAATAATTGTCTGCCAGAGCCATAAATGATGACAGGGTTTGTTCAGTATGAGTACAAAATGCATCTAATAAATTTAATTACGCTGAAATTAAGATAATTAATTGGCCCTGCTTAATGGGCAATGATGATGGAGGATTAAACGGCAATCCCAGCCATTCCATGGAAATGATGGGATTTCAACAGAACACACTCCTTATGGAATAGGGCTCCTTGGGGATGGCAGCCTGAGGAGAGGAAGGACTGGAATTCTCTAGGCTGGGTGGGAATTTTTGCTGTGGGACCCCCAAAATCCCCTTCCAAGCAGAGTTCCTCTCTGGAGTAAAATACTCGTTACAAAATGTCTTAAAATGGGAATAAACGCTCTGCTGGAGCAGCATCCTGCAGGAATTCCTGGGTTAGGAGAAGACAGCAAATGCACCATTAGTTCAGCACTGCTGCACCCTCATTACTGTGGGTAATAATTAACCAGGAGAATAAAAAGCTCTTTTCCAGGCTGATATTGCTTTGGAATAGCAGGAATTAATGAGCAGCTGGTCAATATCCCTCGCTGAACCCACCCTGTTCCCTGTGGCATGGCTGGAGTTCATCATCACCCCAAGGGCTTGAGGTGATGAACCAGGATTGCCCAGGAAAAGTGGGAATTTGGGAGGTTTGTTTTCACTTGGGGCTGATGAGGCTGCTCCAAACCCCAAAGTCCAGCCTGGCCTTGGGCACTGCCAGGGATCCAGGGTGGGCACCCTGTGCCAGGGCCTGCCCACCCTGCCAGGGAACAATTCCCAATCCCCAACATCCCATCCATCCCTGCCCTCTGGCACTGGGAGCCATTCCCTGTGTGCTGTCCCTCCATCCCTTGTCCCCAGTCCCTCTCCAGCTCTCCTGGAGCCCCTTCAGGCCCTGCCAGGGGCTCTGAGCTCTCCCTGGAGCCTTCCCCTCTCCAGGTGAGCACCCCCAGCTCTCCCAGCCTGGCTCCAGAGCAGAGGATGAGGAATTCCCATCTGGTTTGCTGGTTTGCTGCTTTGCTGTTTTGCTGTTTTCAGCAGCCTCTCCCTTGACCAGGGAGCAAAGCCATGCCTGGGACCCTCTGGGTGGCTCCAGAGCAAAGCAGAGGCTGCAGGTGCCCATGTGAGACATTCCAGCTGCATCCCAGGGCCAAAAATAGCAAAAATAGCAGAGAAAGGTGAATTGATGGATATTTGTACAAGTCTAACTCCGTCTGCTGCCTCTCAGGAAAGTGTTCCATTGATTCCAAAATCCCAACGGCACTACAGGGCTCTAAAACTCCATCCCAAGCTCACTTCCCATTAGAAGGGACATACCCCACCCCAGGATCAAACCAAAAAAAAAGACTTCCATCAAATCACATCCTTTTTATCCTTCTTTTCCCCTGGGGAATAACTTCAGGTTCTTGTGGCAGTGGGAAGACTCCAAAGGATCCAGGACCCTGCACATGGACGTGAACCAGGCACCAGCACCAGGACCCTGCAACCTAAAACTGGGCACCCAACCCCAAAACTGGGGTCCCTATAACCCAAACCTGGGTCCCTACAGCCCAAAACTGGGTCCCTGCACCACCACCCCAGAGGTGCCCCCAGCATTCCCTGGTTCTGTGACATCCTGAGGGAACACTTGGGACTCAGACAATGCAGAAAATCCCCAGGATGAAATCCTGGCTGTGACCATTCAGGGATTTGGGAACCCTTCAGGGATTTGGGAACCATTTCTCCAGCAATCTCCTGCTGCAGGATCAGGTTTGTGTCCCTTGGTGTCACCCACCTGTCCAGGAGCCCTGAGGGTGGCAGAGACACTCCTGGAGCCCTGCAAACATTTGGGGTTCCATTAAAAGCTCTGTATAAAAATGTGTTTGTGGCACTGCTCTGGTTGTGAAACTTAAAAGGAAAATAATGAATCCTGACCTTCAGCCAGGGACCAGCTGAGCATCCTGAGGGATTCCAGGTTTTTCCTGATCCCACATTGCAGAGAAACATAAAAACTTCACTTTTATTTTCATTGGAAAAGAAGCACACAGATCCTTCAATCCTCATCCCTCCCTCCCCCTGGAACAAGGCACAGCAATAAAATCCTGCAAGAAATTCCCATTTCCCCCTTTTCACATGGAGAAACCTTCCTTGGATGTTCTTCTGCCAATTAAAACCAGCATTTCCCAAGGAGATCTGCCCAGAGTGAGGAATGGGTTTCTCCTTTTCCAAATTAAAGCATCCAAACAGAGCAATTCCCTTGGGTTTTTTTCCATTAAACCTCTGTCCCAGGGTCAGCCATCCCAGCCTGGGCAGATCCCACTGGTCCCAGGGCACTCCAAGATCCCTCCCAACCTCGTGGTGCTCCTCAGGGAATTTGCAGGAGTTTGGTTCTGCCTGCTGGAATTCCATACCTGGGATCTCAGTGTGCAGGCAGGAAACTCAGAGTCATGGAATCATTCAGGCTGGAAAGGACCTGCAAGGTCATCAAGTCCAGCCTTTGACCAAATCCCACTAAACCCCATCCCAAAGTGCCACATGGACCCATTTTTTGGGAACTTGCAGGGATGGTGATTTCCATGAGCAGCCTGGGTCAGTGTATCACCTTCTTTTCTGCTTGGAGTTTTTCCCAAATATCCAACTGGTGGAGCAGAAAAGGAAATGTCACCTCCAGCCAGTCCCTGCTCTGTCCCAGAGTGGGAGATGGGAGCAGGGTGGGAAGAACATGTGGGAGCCCTGAGCCTGATCCAGGCAGGCTCTGCAGAGGCTTCCTGGGATTTCATGGCTGTCTCAGACATCTTTTTATGAAAAATCATTTCCTTAGGATTTTTCCTCCTGAGAAGCTGAGAAGCCTCAGGAACAAAATGTAAACANCCTGGATCCCTGGCAGTGCCCAAGGCCAGGCTGGACATTGGGACACTCTGGGACAGTGGGAGGTGTCCCTGCCCATGGGGGTGAGACTGGATGAGCTTTAAGGTCCCTTCCCACCCAAACCATTCCACAATTCCATGATAAGCATGCAGCACACAATCCAGTCCCTGGTGACAATCTGTCCCTGCCTGGGGCTGCTGTGCCACCACAACACCAGCAGAACCATCCAGGTACAACCCAAAGCTCTGCACAGCCAAGAGCTGCCCAAACCCACCCCCTGTGCCAGCCCTGGTGCCAGGGACACTCAGACTCACGGGCATGGGGATCTTGGAGAGCTCCTTGCCAATGCAGTTCTTCATGATGCTCCAGAGGTTAAGGCTGTAGTTGGGTTTGTCAGGAATTCGAGTCCTTCTCCTCTTCCTTGGCAGGAGATCTTTGCCTGTGGACTCATTGTAGCTGCTTTGATTTGAGCTCTCAAACACCTGTGGAGGCAACAGAAGGAACTCAGGTTTAAACTGGACCCAACCAGACCCAGCAGCTCCCAGGAACAGCAACCACAGCCCAGGAGACACCTGAGGAGCATTGCTGGAAGCCTGTGAAAACAACTAAATTACAAAAGGCTATCACACCACACCACGTCCAAGAAGAAAATGACCAGCTAGCGTGGCAGAGCTCAGAAAATGCAAAAGGCTTCAGCCCTTTAACTCAGAGGCTCAAATCCTCTCCCTAGCTTAACCCAAACTATGGGAATATGATCCCAATGTTACCAGGTAGATTGTGCCTGGGCTGGCCTGACCTTTGCTGCTGGGCCAAAAGAGGCAGCTGTGGTGTTTCACCTCAGAAACACCTTTGGCTGGCTGATGTTGTGGCTGGGCACTGAAACAAACCCACGCTTGTAGAAACTCAGTTTACCTCAGGTGGGAAGGCTTCAGGCTAGGGTGAGGAGGAAAAGGAGACGGATTCTGTTGGAGGGTTTATATCCAGAGTTTATTCCATGGTCACAGACGTCTGAATCTTGGTAACAGCTCCAACAGAATACCGAGCACGTGGTTCTGGCTGAATTTAAGCCCAGGGACAGGGGGAGGGGAAGGGACAGGTGAGGCACCAGCCAGGTGGGAGGGGCAGGGTCTCAGGAGACGAGGGACACACTGACAGGCCAATGACCCCAGGCCTGGATTGCATCCTTTGAACGTGACCAACCACACGATGGCCTTGCTGGAATGTTGAGCCTGATTGACAGAACTCACTCAGCAAGGGGGCGAGGGGGAAGGGAGAGAGGTATGGCCACACCTGGGAAGGGACTGGGAAGTAAAACAGGAAACTGCAACACACTGCAACACCAAACCATCTACCATGACGAACCACCCTCTCTTAATCAATCTCATCATAGCTGTCTCCTATGCCCTTCCAATCCTAACTGCAGTAGCCTTCCTCACGCTAGTAGAATGCAAAATCCTGAGCTATACAAGGCTGAAAGGGCCCAAACACTGTTGGCCCATTTGGGTTCCTACAAGCTCTAGCAGATGGAGTAAAACTATTTATCAAAGAGCCTATTCAACCATCAACATCCTCCCCAATCTTATTCATCACAACCCCAATACCAGCCTTACTTCTAGTGGAAATATGGGTACAGCTGTCCCCCAACACCCTCCTGCATCCTCCTCAGGAGGATGTTCAGGATGCTGATACCTGCTGATATCTGTGACTCACAGAGGATCCACCACAGATGAAGGGTCCCTTCACAGCATCCCCTCGGCCCTGGTTCCACCCCAGCAGCACCACCCTGCCCACCCTGCCCACCCTGCCCAGCCCACTCACACTGTCCTCCAGGTTCCAGTCCTCGGGGTGGCCCTCGCTGGCCCCGCTCAGGTTGCTGCCCGAACGCCTGTGGGGAGAACAGCAGTGGGAGCACAGGGCAGGGAGCGCCCAGGGCTGTGCAGCACCCCCAGAGCACCTCCTGCACCCCCAGGGCACTGCCAGGAAGGAACTGGGGTGACAGAGGCTGTGCACAGCTGTTAGGAGGGGATTCTAAGGATGGGATGCTCAGGAAGGGATTCTCAGCCACAGCCCTGGGGGCACAGAGGTTCTGCTTTTGTCACCAAGCCCAGTGATGTGACCATGGGTCAGACCACAGGCTCCTCCAGCCCAGGCATCCATGGAGGAGTAAGAGCAGGTGACAGCAGACAGAGGGCAGGATTTGATGGGATATTGGGAAGAACAAATTCTTCCCTGTGAGGATGGGCAGGCCCTGGCACAGGGTGCACACAGAAGCTGTGACTGCCCATCCCTGGCAGTGCCCAAGGCCAGGCTGGAGGGGCTTGGAGCAACCTGGAATAGTGGAATGTGCCCATGCCCATGCCACGGGGTGGAATGAGAGGAGCTTTAAGGTTGAGGGACAGAGGACTCAGCTCTCCCACAGCACTGCCTGACACTGCCCTTCCTCACCTGCTTCACTACAACTGGGGGCCACCCTCAGCCTCGCTCCAGGAATGCAGGAGCAGCCGGATGCAGGACAGACCTCTGGACAGAGGCAGGGGAAGTTCTGAAGGACATGGCCTCAGAGTGACCCCGTGGGAGGGGCGCTGAGGGAACACCAGGGCTCTTCCCAGCCCTCCCCACATTCCCGGGCAGGCAGGGGCGGTACCTGTGGTGCTTGGGGTCTGCAGTTACTGTGATAAAAGCTGGTGCGTCCTCCATGGCATCGAAGTACTCCGTCTCCTCATCTTCATCACTGGCCTCTCCTTTGGCAGACTGCACACTCCCTGCTGGCACAGAGGCTTTGAGACAGAGCCTGCTGCAGGATCTGTCCCCAGAGTCCCCCCTGTGTCCCCTCCTCACAGCCTGACCCCCCTGCATCCCGCTCCACACCCCGAGGATGCTGTACCGATTTCCAGCTCCTCGAGGCCAGAATGTGCCCTGCTCCCCAAGCCAGGCACACAAGGCTGTGCTCGGGAGTACCCCCAAAATGTCCCCAGGCTGCCTGAGGGTGTGGCCATGCCCAACCCCGTCTGGGTGTGGCTCCGCTCCAGCACCGCCCCATCCGCCGGGAAATCCGGTTTGGATTGAAGCAGGAAAAACAAATCCCGTGTTTGAGGTGATGCTGGAGAGGGTTCCCAGCCCCACATAACCAAACAGCAATCCCAAACAGCAATCTCAAACAGCAATCCCAAACACCATTCCCAAACACCAAACAGCAATCCCAAACAAACACCATTCCCACACAAACACCATTCCCAAACAAACACCATTCCCAAACACCAATCCCAAACACCATTACCAAACACCAAACACCGCTCCCAAACACCATTCCCAAACAAACACCAATCCCAAACACCGCTCCCAAACACCATTCCCAAACAAACACCATTCTCAAACACCAAACAGCAATCCCAAACAGCAATCCCAAACACCATTCCCAAACGCCATTCCCAAACACCATTCCCAAACATCCTTCTGCTTCAATCCATGGCTGTGGCACCCGAGTCCCGGTGCAGTTTCCCTGCTCCTGCCCCATCCCAGACAATCCCGTTCCCTGCCTCACTCCCGCTCTCCAGAGGAGCTGTGCCACATCCCAGGTGGATTTGTGGATTTGTGCCTGGCCCTGCAGCCATGTCCCCCAGCTGCCCCTCAGGACTGTTCCAGCTGCTGGGCCCTCTGAGGACATCCAGCCCCACCATTCCCGACCCATGTCCCCAGGTGTCACATCCACAGAGCTGTTAAATCCCCCCAGGGGTGGCGACACGGCTGAACAACCCTTTCCAAGAATAAATATTCCCCAATATCCAAACTAAACCTCCCCTGAGGGGCAACAAGGGCAGTGCCTGGCACCAACACCCCCCCACCTCCAGCAGCCACCGCTCTCTCCCCCGGGTCTGTATTTCCTTTAAAAGTCAGACCCAGCACTTTGAGCAGTGTTTGTGGCTGTAACAAATGCTGCCCTGGGGGAAGGACATTTGGCAGGAAAGTGCAAAGCTGTTGGATCTTATTGCAAACGAGCCCTGGCTGTTCCACATCCACCCCACGCAGCCAACTCGGCAGTGCCAGGGGACCCTGAGCCTTTTCCCAGTGCCATGGCTGCCCTCCAGCACCCGGAGATGTGCCCACCAGTAAGGGTTAAAGCTCCCAGAACAGCCTGGAATAGCATGAATGAGCTGGGGACACAGCCCTCTCTGCATCTGAATCTTGGGGACATCCAAGTCCCTGAGCAAGGACAATTAGGAGTAATTATGGTGTAATGGGAACCATTTAGAAAAATACCATGGGGACACAGGGCATTGCCTTGGGCACCCTTCCCATAGCTGGCAGCTCGCTGGGAGCAGCCAGGCAGAATGCCCTGATCCATCCCAGAGGTGTCTGAACAGCTCTGTCCCATCCCAGGGGTCCTGGAACAGCCCTGTCCCATCCCAGGGGTCCCCAGGCAGCTCTGTCTCATCCTGACGGTTCCTGAGTGGAACACCTCAGTTCATCCTGGGAGTGCCTGAGTGGCTCCATCCCATTCCACGGGTCCCTGAGCAGCCCTATCCCATCCCAGGATCCCCTAACAGCTCTGTCCCATCCCAGGATCCCCTACTATCCCTGTCCCAGCCCAGTGATCACTAACATCCCTGTCCCATCCTAGGATTCCGTAACATCCCTGTCCCATCCCAGGATCCCTGAGCAACCCTGTCCCATCCCAGGGATCCCCTAACAGCCCTGCCCCATCCTGGGGATCCCTGAACAGCCCTG